CCCCCCCCCCCCCCCCCCCCCCTTCTTATTCTTCTCGCAGTTTCTATGCCCAAGTCAATGTTCATCTGCACTACTTGTCCCAAGTACGTATAGCTGTCCTGAAGTTCGACAGAGTCTTTATCCTAAGTTAATGTCGAACTGAGGGCAGTAGGGGTTCTTCATCCACTTGTTTGTTTTTCATAATTTATGGCTATGCCGCTGAAAAGCGAGTGGTTGTTACTCAGTAGCAATGATGAGAACAACTCAAAACACCAAAGAATGGAGAAGTTAGTAGCTACATCAAGCTGAGAAGAAAAGTGACGATGATACAGCAGCTGATCAAAGAATCAAAAAAGCTTCAAGTACGTAAAACTTCAAGAATTATTTTTGAAGAAATACTGAATGGATTAAGCTCAACACACAAAAGCGAACCTTCAGACCTTCTTCATTTTCATAAACGTCCGTTCTTATTTGCAAATTACGCAGACGCCATTCATCGATGCTGGACGGAAGCTTTCCAGCTTGTTCTTTCATCTCTTGATCCCGTTTCTTTAGATTCAACAACTGTTTCAATTTAGAAAGAACAGCGTCACTCGAAGATGGATGAACCCACAAGACCAGAGAGTATCCCCCATCATCCCTGAAAAAAAAAACAAATTTGGATTTTCTGGGAATCGTATCCTTCGGGAAATCCAACCTCACTCGTGAATCCTTGTCCCTATCTTTTGCTTCTGTAGCCCACACTGTCTCCCATGAGTAATATGCAAAAAAAAACGAAAATTTACTAAAAACCTGCTGTAAAAGAAACTCGGTATGAAATTACAAAAAATCTCGACTTACACAGATAAGATCATGATAATAAAATCATCAGACTATTACTCATGGATAAACTCGCAAATATGCCCTGTTTGATGAAAAAACATATGAAATTAATGCAAAACTTGAATAATTTCTTGTCAGAGTTCCCAGTCAAAACACTTAAGGTGCCAGGAACAGTTGGAATTCATAGAAAGGTTTTCCGACTATGCAGTCAGCCAGTCCCGTCACTTTGACCATCTAGAGAACTCTTTCAGTCTTTCAAACTATCTCATCAAAAATTCCACTTTCTCGGTCACTTCTGCATCAGTCACTTCATTCGTTACTGTGCCTACTAAATAATGGACAATACAATAAGCCTGAGTAAATTTATTTTTCCATTTTTTTTCTAAAAAAAAATTTTCAAAAGAAAATAAGGATGATAATTACCTATTAGTAGTCCACAGAAATCTCACAGGTGCAATGAAGCCATCCGGATACAGGCCTGGTTCGTATAACTGAACAGGAATCTCAAAACGTCCATCCAAAGCAGCTTTGAAAGCAAACGAAGCACCTACTTCCGGGATACATAACTGTCGCAGCGGCTCAATAATTGCTTGCTGGTTTGGAGCACAAATCTGAAAAAATGTGCCAAAAAATTTTGCAGAAATATAAGACATAACAAAATTTAAAGAAAAAACAACCACTCTACGAATCGCTCATTCACTTCGATGATAAACTAACAGCTAACATATGTCAGGAAGGCAAACTCGCCATCAACTTGT